AACGGTCAAGAAATCAAAATGATCTATCGCATTGGGCAAATCTGCTCACAAGACCTCTTCAAAGTGTTAAAGAGCAAAGATGTCACTTTGAGACCGGTCACACCAATCTCCTCAGATGCCTGGGCAAGCTGATGTTGTGAGGGGCCGTCTAGTCAGTTCCGACCCCCAGCGACCTTACGCACAACAGAACGAAACCCGGCCCGGTCCTGTGTCATCCGCACAATTGTTCCCAAGCCCGAGCCCATTAAGTGAAAGTTAGGTATTGAATAAGGAAAATAGGAGAATAATCGATATATTTGAATTATGGTGCTGATGAAAACTATTGAATGGACTTCCAGAAGAACTAACCAATATGTCTTGGATGAAGTCTGGCCAGAATACTCCTTAGAACGGAAGATGGCAAAACTTCATGGCATGTACGTTGGAGACGTCCTCAGGAAAGACCAGTCTCTGCAGAAGGGCAGCCTGCTTGGTCAGGGAGAGGGGTCAGCAAAAGGGAGGGAGACTTGTGAGTGATGGACGGACACCGTGGCTGCACACTGGGCTCAAACAGCAACCTGAGCACGATGCTGCACTGGGCAAGATTGTCTTCAGTGGCCCGGAGGGTCGCTCTGCGTCCAAACCAACTCTTGGATACCTAACACTAACCCTCTGTGCCCAACGTGAGACGGTGGCCACGCCTCACCAGCTGGGCCATGCGCGGCTCTCTCACCTCAACAGCGCGCATCCCGAGCCCTCACGTTCTCACAGGTTTCCTTACGGCCCAACCTGTACCCCTGGAGAAAGACTTTTTTCTTTTTTCTTTCAGGAAATGACTTTAAAATATTTCAGCAAAGGGTGCATTTCACATGGAATAAGTAAGTAATTCTTAAGATCTATTCTTAGAAGGGAAGGGTGGGGGAGTACCAGCTGAACAGAAACAAAAAAGCTTCCAAGGTTTGTGAGCAAAGGCTCAGAACAAAGCTTCCAGAGATGGATTAAAAAAGTCCGTGAAGCACGCAGGAAAGCAGCAGCCCACGTGCTGATGGCGTGGTGTTGAAGGCTGGGAAGGGACAGAAAGCCCACACCAAACCAACAGGCCTGGACTCAACTGCTCTGTTGTGGAGAGCATGCACCGACCCACACC